CTTGGATACACATTTACCAAAAGGCACTGACTCTTACTTTTGCCCAGGTGTTGGGTAGTGGGACTTTGATATATAAATCCAGTCTAGCACTAGGAATGCTAGGGCCTACTCAAGAATGCAAATAATCTCTTTGATCCTAACTTTTGGTGAAACTTCCTGGTATTTGGGGGCTATAAAATAAACTTATTGTATCGACTCAGGGTCCCTGTCCCTCCATCTGAGAGGATGGTGGTCCCACCCGGTCCCAGCTTTTTTCCTTCTATTTCTGTGTCTTGTCTCTTTCTTTCTTTTATTTCTCAATCCCCAGCTGCCTTTATTCAGAACTGGTTCATCTCTCTTTCTGTGCTGGACGTGGAAAAGAGAGATCCCGTCATAACAGTCCAAACACTTACTCATTCAAGTAATCTTAGAGATGTTAGCTTTAGCTGTGGTTGTTATTCAGAAAGTTGCATTCCAGGTACCAGATTAAGAAGCAGAGAATCCCACACAGCTGCTTCTTCCTCGGTGAAGCAATACCTCCCTTTGTCCTTTTATATTAATGGGCGTTCTCAAATGATCGTGGATGGTCTTCATTCCTGCTGATCTTTTAGGAGACACTGGATTTGGGGGCACTCTTTTTCAAGTCACCTTTCTGTCAATTGGTTTCCAATATGATTCAAGGCTACTTCCTGGACAGGGCATCTGGTTTATACAGCTCAGAGAATGACTGGCCCTGATAAATTGCTCTGAGTACCGAGGCTACTGCTATATCATTGCATTCTCTATTTTCCATTTACCCCCTTCCCCCTAATACACACACATACTCTTCAACCCATTAGACTACATTCCCATGTTGCATTCAAATCAGTTTTCTGACAAAACACATTGGAGAAAGCTAAGCCAGCACAGCACTAGATGCTCAAAAAATATCTGTGAGCCGAGACCGGTTTGGCTCAATGGATAGAGCGTCGGCTTGGGGACTGAAGGGTCCCCAGTTCGATTCCGGTCAAGGGCATGTACCCTGATTGCAGGCATATCCCCAGTAGGGGGTGTGCAAGAGGCAGCTGATCGATGACTCTCTCTCATCGATGTTTCTAACTCTCTATCTCTCTCCCTTCCTCTCTGTACAAAATCAATAAAAATATAAAAATAATAATAATAATAAAATATCTGTGAATGAAAAGCTTTGGAGCTCTGGAATGAGCTGCAATTTCTCACAGGGCACATGCCAGTGATAGAGTCAGGCTTAGGGGTTATGTAAGGGAGAGATACATGTTACACTGCTCAACAATTGGTTCTTTGAGGGGAGGGTGTGAATGGTGCCCAAATCTGTGAGTACAACTGCTAATGGGGATAATGTAGAAAAAGAATGAACCTCAAATGGGTAAATAGATTAGCAAGTCTTCAGGGTCCCTTTCTGTTAGAGAATTTACCACACAGCTGGAAACCAATCATTGTCTCACTAATAAAAAGAGGCTGGTCAACCTTGAAGCCCCGAAAGGTCAGAGTCAACCATTCCCTATCTAATTGAGACAATGGTAACTGAGGCAACTTCCCCATCTTATAATCATGTAAATCCTTACTAATATGATAATCCATTTATTACCTGCTAAGGATTCTGGGTGTTTCCCAAAGTTGCTTAAGAGTAATGGGTGTATCCCATAGCCTCAATTAAAGGGATAGCAAGGCCAGAGCCCAGTGGTAGTCTTCCCACTAGAGGTTGACTCCCACCTGCCCCCCCATTTGTCCCAAATTAACTCTTTTCCAGTCTCTTCATTTTAGTGTGCGGCCTCCTCCAGAAACCGGACCCTGAGTGGACTCTGAATCACGTGGGTTGTGTTAAGGGTTCCCACACCACACGACTGGAACATACACACACAGGAATACTTGGAGATACAGGAAAAACCCATTTATTTCTAGATGTACTAGGACCATGACTCAGGTGAGCCTGTTTCCAAATCCTGAGCAAACCAATATGGAGGAAGCTTTCTCTTTATATCCTTTGACCTCTTTGTCCCCCAAATAAAGATTAGACTTCCAGACCTTTCTTGGGCTTTGCAAAAAGCCCTGTGTGTTGAGGACGTGAGACCACACCTAAAGGCCTGGCCTGGCGCAAGTGCTGATAACCCCCTCTGGGGGTTGTGTATGGTTCAGATCTTGCAAGACCAGATAATTAAGGAAGGGGCAGTGACTCGACCATAGGCTAACCAGAATGTGCACTAGGGACACTGATTAACTAGGTATAGAATCAGGCTGCTGCCCCCCCCCCCACCCCCCCAAAAAAAGTCTTATTTTCCTCATCATTTCAACTCCTGGATTTTATGAAATTCTTGAGGGAGGAAAAAAAAGAGGCAAAAGAAAAAGAGACCAAAGAGAAGGGAAGGTAATGAAAGAATAAAATTTAAAAGGAGACAAGAATGCGAGAGGCTGGGAACTATTTTGTGCATGTGCCAAATATTCAGACAGAAATGGGAAAGTTCTGAGAGGACTGGTATCTCAATGGGCAGTCAGTGGAGTGTCATGGCACGCTGGTCTTTCACCTCCAGCACCCACCCATTTCTGTCTTGTGGGCAAAGCCTGACCTTGAAGCCAAATGAGCAGTGTGTGTTCATCCTTAGGAAACTTGGCCCAAAACAAAGAAGTGACAGAAGGCTCAGCATCTCTGCACATTTCCCTGGGGGAGGGGGAGGGAGGGGAGTACCCAGAATCCTAAGAAGGCAGGAAGGATCCCTTCTTCCCTTCCCCCCATCCCTTGGCCAGAGAATTGGGTGAAACCAAAATAATAAGCATCTGGGGCCACAGCAATGCTTGCACCCAAATAAAATCGTCTGGGTGTATTCCTAAACCAATCATATGAACTGGGCCAGTCCCTGCCCTTGCTCAAAGGCAGCATTTTCAGACGGAATAAAGCAGTCCTTTCCTAAAAGATTACATTCCTGATGAGGGGTGGGGGGAGAAGAGGGTAGGCTCCAATGGCAGGGTTTGGGCTGTGGCTCTCAGAAGGGAAACTTCCCCCCAAGAAAGCTTTGCGGGTCTGTGCAGGGAACCTGGGCCCAGTCCTGGGGAGTGTCACAGTCACCACCTCTGCCAGGATGCAGGCTTGGATAGCTGCTGGGTGTCTGGATCTGGGCCTGGCCCCCAGCCTGGACTGGTCCAATTAGGAAGACCTAGCACCCACAGAGGGAGTAGAATGGAATCTTCATTTGCTCCTCTCATTTCTATTCTTTTCTAATCTTCCCACAGGGGGATTCAGATGAAACACATGGCCAGTCAAATCACAGCACAGCACAGGGCCCCCCTCTCTCTCCTGTTGCCCACCCAAGAAGCCCCATTTCTGAGTATATTAAACAGTGTGTTTTCAACCTGATTCCACCTTAGCCCACGTGGCAGCCTCACACACCCTTACAGTTGTCCATTAACCATTCACTGAGCAATTCCCCCTCTCCCACAACGCTCCTGCACAGGCACTAGGCTCCTGGGCTACCAACTTGTTCTGTGGAATCAACTTGCCAGGTTGCCCCTTCTCTGATCTCTATCATTTGCCTGCTCTGTAGTTAATTATTTGTGAGTTCTTTTGTGCAAACCACAGAAGTCTTCCCTGTGAATCTCTCCATTGGCTTCTCAGAGACTTTTAAGAGGCTAGTGTTGAGACAAAAACTAGGCAGTCCCCCCCCTCTCTTATACACACACACACACACACACACACACACACACTCACAGAGCCACATCCCATGTCAGCGACAGGGTCAACCCAAGGAGAATTGTGCAGACACACAACACATCTATGCACACACTCCAGAATTTATGTTTAATCTTCAGAGACACCCCCAACCCCGCCCCGCTTCTTGCGAGCCTGTTTCACTCACTACCCGCCTTCCCCCAGTTCCTCCGCCCCACACACCCATGTGGTTTCGCCCCTTACCCCTGAGCTGGAGGCACAGGGAGCAGGCGCCGGCTGTAAACGCCTGACAAAATCCCTGGACAGTCAAACAAACACTCTATCTCACAAAGGATCCCAACGGAAGGGGCCTCCGGACGCCTTCCTTCTGCGGTTTCCTGGGGCATCTTCCCCAGGCTTCCTCCTTCAGTCCGCTGACAAAGAATCACCGAGCCCGGTTCAAATCGATTGTTTTATTGACTGTGCACACACAGACACGCCTTTAGAAAAGGGCGCGCCCCGAGGCTTCTCCGCCCTGGGCTGCACTTGTGCTGCATTTCACGGACCCGGCTGGTCCGGACGCCCGACCCCCCCACCCCCATCCCCACCCCTACCCCGATCCGACGCTTTCCTTCAAGAACTAAAAAGGGAGTCCAGCTAGACGCTTCTGCCCTCTCCTCTCCTTCCCTCCCTCCCTCCCGCCCACCTGCCCGCCCGCCCGCCCCCTACACTTCACGGTCACACTTTACAGACAGACTTTTCTCCTACAGAGCGCGCTCTTCTAGGACTACGCGCCAGGCAAATGCTATAGGGGGGAGGAGGGATGGGGCGGGGGAGGACCAAGGATCCTGCTGCCGCTACCCACGGGCTTTGTGGGAACCAGGGCGTCCGCCCTCAGGAGGGACCAAGCCCGGGAGGCCACAGTTATTTCCTAGGGACCCCGCGCTTCTTGAGCTGAGTCTGGATCCCGGGCAGCAGCGGAAGCGAAGCTGTCCAGTGCACCTATCTCTGGAAAACCCAACTCATCCACAACGAAATTGGCTCGGGACCAAGCGCTTACCCTCGGTGGTAAAAGGGCTCGCGGTTCCGAGGCGCTTTAAGTTAGGTGAGAGGGCGCGGGGATAGGGAGAAATGGTCCCCCGCCCCACACCACACACCACACGTCACACACCACACGTCACACATAACACAAACCACACATAACACAAACCACACACCACACATAACATACGCCACACATAACACACTCGCCACACATAACACACACCACACATAATACACACCACACACCACACACACACACACCACACACCACACATACACACACCACACACATCACACCACACACACCACGCATACAACAGACATACACACAACACACAACACACACACACACACTTTTCCCAGAGAGGCTGGGAAAAGTGTTAGCACCAGACCGAGCATCGCTGTCTTTGAAAACAATGAGAGTATGAAAATCCGAACACGAAGCGGGGGGAGGGGGAGCAGACGGGTTTGGTTCCCAGTCGCTAGGGGGTTTTGAAACTAAAAACGGGGCGTTGTCACCGAACCCTGGCTTCTAGGGTGTGCATCCCCGAAAGGGCAGGGTAGGGTTGAGGCGGGACCTCGGCGCTCCACACCAGGGACGTCTGTGGGAAGTACCAGCCCAAAGCCCGCGCTACAGCGTTAACGCTTTCTACCATTTACTCTGGCTGCACCGCTCACAGTGGGTGGGCTGCGGGGCAGATTTCCAAGATAGTTGCGCAGGAGTGGAGAGGCCTGGATTTCGCCTCCAGGTCAGCGATGGTGCCTTATAAGAGGAGAGCAGAGAACTGTGCTTGCCAGAGGGAATTCAGCCCGAGGTCAATGACGATCGTGGGTGTGGTGGGTACTAGGGAAATGGTTCCACTACCCACTAGAAGTCGCCAGAATTAAGATTGGGGTGGTGGTGGTGAAAGGGCAGAATAAATGTGGGGGGGGGAGGGGGACGGGAGGGGAGGAGATAAATCCTGCCAGCCCCAGGCACCCAAGGAGAGGGGGGAGGGTGAGACTGGGAAGGCAGGGCGAGCAGGAGTTCAGCCCGCCGTCTGCCTGTAGTTGCCGTTAATCTCCTGGGCAATGTTGACCGCCTCGGCACCCAGGGGCAGCCGGTCACTGTACTCGGAGCCCACCTCGAACTCCTCTTGGTTGGCCTTGGATTGGGACTCCACCAGCGAGCAGGCAGCCAGGCTCTCCTCCCTCTGCAGGTCCCCACTCGCGTCCCCCTCCTCCGCCTCTTCGTCAAGGCCCTCCCTGGGGCCCTCCTCCGGCTCCTCGCAGCCCGCTTCGCCGCCTGGTGGGTAGCTTTTCTCGGACTCAAGATAGGAGGCGCGTGGGTCAAAGTCGGCGGCGATGCGCTTCTCCATGGGGTCGGGGACCTGGGACCGCAGGATCAGACGATAGGGCTTCCCCGGGTGTTTGGCCAGCAGATGGCAGCAGGCGGCGCCCAGCAAGGGCACAGTGGCCAGCACCAGAAGGAACACACTCACCACCACGATCACCAGTAGCGAGGGCAACTCCTTTTTGGTAGCGAACACCACTTGCACGTGGCAGGCCTCGCCTGCCTGCGCCAGGCACACCGAGTAGTTGGTGCCAGGCCGCAGGCCGCGGAACCAGTAGGCGTTGACCCCCTCCTCCACGTGAGACCACTGAACTGCCGCGCCGCCCCCCGCCGGGCACAGATAGAGCCGGCGCAGGGGTCGCTGCCCAAGCCGCCCCCCTCCCGCAGCCCCGCCGGGCACAGGGCCCCAGCGCGCCGTCAGCGGCGTCAGCTGCACCCGGGCCTCGCGCTCGGCCACGTCCAGCGCGATGACACCCAGCTCAAAGACGTGCGGCTTCAGGTCGGCGCTCTGGTTGAAAGCGTGGTTGGACACGTACCGGGAGGGGTCCCCGTGGCCGCAGCGCTGCTCTACCACCGGGTCTGCAGAGACCTGGTCTTCCACCTCCTCTCCCTCCCTAGCCTCCGCCTCCAGCCCCGCCTCAGTCTCCCTGAGGATGCCATCCCCACCTGGGCCTTGGCCTTTGATTTTGCCCTCGGGCTTGGAGGGTAGGACGCTGTTGCCCCGGCCTTTAGCTGTGGTCTTGCGCTCAGAGGTTGGGGCCTGCATATCCGGGTCCCCACCGGCGCTAGGAGCGTGCTTTGGGGGCCCAGCTGCCGACACCACCACGCGTACCGACGTGGAGTTGGCGCCCAGCTCGTTGTGGGCACGGCACGTGTAGATGCCTGCCTCCTTGGCACTCAGGAGGGGCACCAACAGGGAGCCGTTTGTGAGTGCCAGGAAGCGTGGGGTTGCTGGAGGCGCGGGCCAAGCGGGTGCCGGAGACAGAGTTGGAGCCTCTGTTTGCGTTGCCCCCTCCCCATCTCCTCCCTCCACCCCGTCGTCCCTGACGCCGCCGTAGTCCTCCCAGCTCGAGACCGGCGGCTCTAAGACTACGGTGCCACCCGGGATCTGAAGTTGCCATTGCAGGCGGGGCGTGGGGTGTCCTTCGGCGATGCAGTGCAGCATGAGCGCCATGCCGGCCCGCAGGGGGCTGCTGAACACCTCGATAGGCTGCTCGGCACTCAGACGCACACTGGGTGATGCACAGGGCAGGACAGGCAGTCGGTGCACAGGAATGCCCTGCAGCGCTGTTGGCGTGGCGCACGCAATGGAATCAATCTCAGGTAGCGAGACTCGAGTGCTCGCGGCCCAGGCCTGCAGCCACACAAGGCTGCAACCGCAATGGAAAGGGTTGTGATAGAGTTGCAGATGTGACAGTGCGCTTAAGGCATCGAAGGTGCCGGGAGCCAGTGTACGCAGCCGGTTGTTGTTGATACGCAGAGAGCGCAAGTCGGGCAGCGCACCGAGTGCGTCCGGAGGAAGCGAGCCCAAGCGGTTATGGTTCATTTTGAGCAGCTGCAGGGCGCTCAGGTTACGCAGGTCGTTCCAGGGGAAGCTGGATATAAGGTTGTGGCTCAGGTCGAGGTTCTTGAGCTGGCTCAGCACGGCCAGCGCGCCGGGTTCCACGGTGCGCACCTCATTGTGCGCCAGCCACAGCGACGTGACCTGCGTGACGTTGGCAAAGGCCCCGCGCCGAAGCACGGAGATCTTGTTGGCCGACAGACTAAGCGTGGTCACGTTAGCCGGCAATCCTTCAGGCACCTCGTGAAGCTCCTTGTAGGCGCAGTCAGCGAACTGGTGCGAGTATTTGTCCACGCAAGCGCACGGCTCCGGGCACGCTCCCGCCACTCCTAGCAGCGCCCACACTAGCCATACTGCTCCAAAGGGCACCACTGCGGGTCCTGAAGGTGGAAGGAGGGGAAGGAAGGGGAAGGGGAGAAGGTGAGTCACTGAGCCCCAGCTTCCTTCTATTAAGCTCTGCTTCCCAGAAGCAGCCTAGAGTAGGCCTCTGATAACCTCCTTTATGCCCAGGGGCATTTCTTGGGCATGGGTTGAGTTCAGTAAAAGCCTCTGGATTAAAAGGTTGCTCCATCTCGGAGCCCCTTCTTCCTTTTCCAGCGGCCTTCTATCTGGCTCTGTTTTCTCTATCTACCCCTCACCCTAGTCCCTCTGCACAGGCTAGGCTGATCGCCTTGGACTCTGCACTGAATTTCAAAGCCTTTGTTTAATCCTCTGAAAGGGATACACAGAAAGGGGTTTTTTTTCCTCCATGACCGGTGTCCTCCCTCGTACTCTTTGTCTCATGTACATACAGCACTTGCACACACGCCCATACAAGCAAACCACAATACAAACATGCTGGGGCATTGCCATCAAACCACCAACTTCTGCAGGAACACAACTCAGCAACACATTTTGTAGACACACAAACAGAGGCACCCAGACATAACACAATATACACTGGAGACCTCATTGTTCTTCCAGCCCAACCTAGCATTTGTATAGCTTTCTGCACAGCAGCGGTGCAAAATGCTTTCCTATTCATTGTAGGAATTGAATAGGACATAAGGACACAAACCCTCATGCAACCTACCCCCACATAGGGACACAAGAGTGCCCTGGCGCTTGCAAACAGCCCTCCCGAGACCAAAATCCCAGCAGATTAGCAATGTAGAGAACTTGCAAGATCCCTGGGAGGCAAGGAAGCCTGCTGGCAGACCCCTCAGCTGATGCAACCTAAGCTGCCTGCTCTGGGTTGCAGCTCCCGTCAGGGGAGAACTCGGGGTGCTCAGCCAGCCTTCCATCTGAGGAAGGAGGTCCTCCTACATGCATGGATCAGGGGCATTGTAGGAACATTGCTAACCCTCCCATGCCCCTACAGCAGAGCCCAGGCAGCTCCCCAGGGAGCAGAGGGGGTCCCTAGCCCATGGGTCCTGGGGACTGCCACTAGCTAAGTAGGAGAAGGTTCAAGATTCTGCTTCTTTTTTGCAGCTCTAGGGCACCCCAGAGCCCCCTCTCCGATAAAACCTTCTTATCCTCAGCCACACAAATGCACCTACACACAGACTGCCCTTCCCATTTAGGGTTCCAGCAGGTTCTGCAGACACCCTATCTTTGGGAAGGAAGGAACCCTTGCCCCTCACTCCACCTTTGCTCCCAGGGGAAAGCTCCTCCCCCTCTCTCCATTGTCTCATTGGGTACAGCTAGTTAATCTGGTTCTACCCCCACCTGGATGCAGGTTATGGGGCCCTCTGAAGCTTACCTGCCATTTGTTGTCTCCCCAAGCACTGCCTGGGGCTTCAACCCCTTCTCCAGACTTGACTTCTCAGAGACGAAGACAGCCCAAGGGCGCTTCCCACATCTGTTGCTGAGACTGTGGGGAAGACGGAAAAGGGACGGGTAGTTTTGGGGTCTACCTGGCCCTGCAGCCCCACTTCAGTTTTTCCTTTTGTGTTCGTTCCCTCCACCTCTCCCTGGCTGCAGATTGAAGAGTCCTTCTGCGCGCTCCGGCTTGGCAGGGACGCGCACAGCCTCTCCCACCTCCAGCATTCTTTATGCTTGTGAACGCCATAGAGGCTCTACCCTGGCGCAGACACTTTAGGCCCCCACACCCACCACCCTCAGCTGGGCTCTTTGCAGTACACCGCACCCCATAACCCATGTCCCCCCATATTTACAAATCTGCAGACATTATTGCTAGTTCTTATCACATCGCCCCTCCCCCACCCTCAGCCCCACACACATATTAGCACCAGACCCTCATTTCCTGGTGTTATAATTATCTATCATGCAATAATCGAATCGATGTGTTGAGCTCTCACTAGAGTCACACACATTTTCCAAGGTACACACCTTTACCAAGGACATTCACCATTTCCCCATCTTGCACGCACACAGATTCATGCGTACTCACCCGCACAGCAGTGGGTCCGCCAGGGACCAGGAACTTCGCTGCTAATTGAATCCGATCCGTTTACAAACCCCACAATACGTGAGACAAACCATCCTGAAGGAATTTGGGGGAAGGCAAGGAGCACAACTAACGGGGTTGTGTTTTGCATTTAAACTCTTTTTACAAATGTAGGTAAGGAGGCAGACAGACCTCGAGTGGGATGGGCCGGGCTTGCGTGTACCCCCTCCACCACCCCCACCCGGCTAGCCGCCTCCTCCCTGAAGCCACATTCAACACGATGCATAATTGATAGTGTTAGCAGAGCATCTCATCCTCCCTACCATTTTTGCCAGGATCTGGGCGATACATGCCTAGGTCTCTTTCTCCCCACTCCCCAGCCCCGCCCCGCCCAGCCCCGCCCCGCCCCGCCCGTGAAACCCGGCAACTCGAACGCCAGGCCCTGCAGGGCGTACTGGGGAAGCAAAGCCTTCCTCCTCCCCCCCACTACACACACACACACACACACACACACACACACACACACACAGCCCACCGCCTACCCTGCCCAGCCATTTAAGCGACTCTACGCTTGGTCTTTTGTGGCTACACTAGCGCTGAAGCCCACTGCCCAGCTCTCAGGCTTGTGCGCGCCGCTGAGAGGGGCCAGACGGGGCGCGAGGGTGTCGGACTCCGCACCCAGGAAGCTTGCCTGAGCACACCCAACGCCTCAGGTCTTGACAGCTAGAGGCGAAGGATGCCTGGGGCAAAGGCATCAAAAGGATGGCTACAAAACTCCTGGTCTTTTGAGCACAGCGGGCTGGGAACACCGATATCTTGCTATCTTCTTCACAGCCCCACAAGCAAACACACCGCCAACCCCACACAGGATTTCCACAGTCTGTACCGCTCTCTCACACAACAGCCAGCCTCCACATACAATACTCGCTATTTCCGACTCTCACTAGTCTCTGGCTAAACCCCGACATTTATTTTAGCGACCAGGAAGCAGAGGAGATATCAGGAATTTGGCTAAAAGTTGATTCCTGCCCCCCTGCAGTAACCACTAAAGCTCTGGAGACAGCGTTGCTGGCCCGAATTAGAAAATGGGTGTAGGTTCCCGGACACACACAAAGCTCCCGAGTTCCCCAGTCCTTTAGTGGACACTGAGCTTTCGGGTGGTCCTAGGCCCCCCAGCCCTCACTCCAGGCTGGGGGGCGGGTGGTCTCTGGCGGCGGGTCGTTGGACGCGGGTTAGGGCCCTCTGAGAAGTTCAATTTTCAGATTTAAATGTGGGGCATTTTAATGAGCTAGGGGGGTGGGGGAGAGAGCCGAGCGGTGAGCGCAGCATCTAAAGAGATTACCAGATCCGGGAACCGAGGATCTTTTGTAAATTAAATATGGACTGACTGGCGCACCCACATTCCGTGTCCCGCCCTTTCTCCAACTCCTACTGCCGCTACGGGAGGCCGAGCAGGCTGGGATCAGCGCATTTGCTCAGCCCAGAACCAGAGTCAGAACTTCATTTCTCCTATTACTGTGGTCCCCACAGCAGACCCGAGGGGCGGTGTGTGTACGTGTGGGGGGTTGGGGGGAAGGGGTGAGAGCGCCTGGACCCAGTGGTGGGATGGGGGAAGGATCCATAGTTCGGAAGTGAGTCCTGCGGTTTGGCCTGGCTGGGTTGGGGAGTGGCACAGCCGGCGGACCTGGGCAAAGTCTCTTTGTCTGCGGAGCAAGGGGATCTTCCTAGGAGTGTTGTCTGCGTCTTGGAAGCCCAGAGGAAGCGATTCAAAAAGGCTTGACCCGGGAAGAGGAGCTTGGAAGAGGCAGAGCCCAGCTTCGAAAATGGAGAGTAGTGTCTGGATGTCTAGTTCTGGAGCCTTTCCTGGGTGGGGCAGGCGCCTGGCGCGGAGGTAGGGATCCAGGCTCCCGGGTGTAGTCGCATGGTTTGTGGACCCCCACCCCCCAATCCAGTTTCCTCCTCTCTCCTGGTTCTTTTTGCAAGGAGGTGAACGCAGAGGCGCGGGAGCAGGGGACGTCTTGGAAGGGTTGAGGGACTATAAGACAGAGGCTAGGGCGTGGAAGTGAGAATGGTTTCGCTTACTCTCCACGGAGTGTTTTGTCCCGCCAGCGACCCGGGAACCTTCGGGACCCGCGGGGCCAAGAAAGAACCTTTTCCCTTGCTTTCTTGCCGGGGCTGCAGAAGCCGAGCGAATGCAGCAGGAGGTAGGGCTCCAGGCGCCAGGACCGCGGGCGGCTAAGGGCGCGGTGGCCACCCAGAGAGGGCGCGGACTCCCACGGGCTCCGGTGGTTCCCGCCTACTCTACCGCGAGCGCTTTTGTTCCCTGAGCGTGCCCTCGGGATAGACAACCCTTACCCCAGCTGTCGACGACGGAGAGCCCAATGCCTGACCCGGCAGCCTGAAGCCCGAGTTGCTCCTGGAAAGGTCCGCCAATAACTGGGGTGGGAGCCACGACTCCGGGTTCAGCCTCAGAGCTCAGCTAGAAGACTGAGCGCTAGTCGTCTAGCGCCGCCAGGCGCGCAGCAGCAGTCTAATGATTATAATGTTAATAATGGTACAGTTACTGAGGGGCTGGAGAATCGGGGAACTAAGATACCACTCCACCCCACCGCTGCCCACGTCCTTGATCGTTAAAGAAACAGGCCCCTTATCAGGTGGGTGGAAGTAGGTGTGAGGAGAAAGAAAGAGATAAGGTTTCAAGGACTCGGCGCGGGGTCCCCAAATTCAGAATATGTAAGAATACAGGCTGAGGATTTTTGGCGAAGTTGGGGTATGGACCCTAGACAGACCCAGCGGCCGAGAGCTGGAGCTCTGGGCAGCTTTTTGCAGAACTATCTTTAACTGCGACGTTGCGGACCCTGACGGTCCCAAGGGTGGGGTGGGTCGGAATCTAGTAGATCCGGGCATTGGCTTCTCTGGCGCAGTTCACTTAAGGTGTCTGGCCCAGGCCGAGTTCGCGCCCGCTCCCTGCTGGACACTGCCGCGTGCCAAGGCCGGGGACCCGGCCAGAAGGGCTTCTGCTGAAACTCCTGCAACAAGGTCTACGCGACACGACGTCTTTCTCCCCCTTCCCCCCCCCCCCCCCCCCGCGCCGTTTCCCAGAGCGGCAATGCTCTGAAGTGGGGGACTCTTAACTAAGGCACCGAAGCTTGCTTCCTCATGTCCACCCAGCAAAAATTAGTCCCAGGAATCTGCAACCTCCTGGGACTATCTAACAGTACAGCCCTCGCATGCACCTTACTGTTTCCAGGGCCCAGACACAATATAGGCACCATCTGAATACTCCATGAACGAATAGTCCCTGGCACAAACTAACGAACTTAGTCCTCCTGGGACAGAACCTTCCTGTGCCTTCCCCATCCTCCTCCTTGCGTGAGCTCTTTCTCTTTGAGCCCTGTTTGAAGACTGTCCTTAAATCTCATGATTTTGTTGGGTACCTATAAAATGTCTGAGATATGAAAAATAAAGTTTTTAGGCTCTAAGAGACAAAAAGAAAACTGCAGTTGGAAGTAGTGGATATTTGATTAAGGTTCAGTTGCAACCATTGCTGCAGAGTTGTACATGCGTTGCGGCATAGGGGTGATTTAATGGATATGAAAGGGCCTCTAAAAATAAAAGAGCCAAAACGAAAAAATAATAATAAAAATAAAAGAGCCAGGAGGGCATCAAATATGCTCAGCATGGCAGCCTGCTCAGAAGACCCTTCCCACAGCTGCCCTACAACCAGAATCTCCTAAACACTCAGTGCTTCCTACCTTTCAGCTTCTATAGTCCAGTCTCTCTCCACCCCCACTGCCCCCCCCCCACACCTTCACAGTGTTCCCTTTCAAAAGCTGCTTTTATAAACCTCCCTCCTACCTTCCATTTCATCTTTCCCTCCTACCTTCCATTTCATCTTTCCCTTATATACACTTTACCTACTGGTTAGGAGGAAAAGTTCTACCATCACACTCCACCATGTACTAGCTGAGAGATAGTGAGGGGGAGAGAGAGATAGAAACATTAATGATGAGAGAGAATCATTAATCATCTGCCTTCTGCACACTCCACACTGGAGATTGAGCCCCCAATCCAGGCATGTGCCCTGACCAGGAATAGAACCATGATCTCCTAGTTCATAGGTCAATGCTCAACCAGTGAGCCTCACCTGCTGGGCTGAGCTATTATTTTTTCAACAATAGCTATAATTAACCATCATTATTAATAATGATGCCTTGCGGAGTGGGGTCCAGATAGGATGAGATGTTCTGCTGCAACATGCTTTCACATGCTTCTGTCCTAACTCCCCACAGAGGAAGGACCTTGGCCCTACCCTCAAATGTCTCTCTTCACTCCCATCCCCTCTCCCCTTATCCTGGTATAGATAGCAATCAGAAATTACTATTAGGATTTATAAAGGTTTCTAGTCTGAGATACTTCAACCTAGATTCTGATGCTGTGGCTGTCTCCAGTGCCCCTGTAAG